TTCAACGAAGTCCCCAAGCGTTGTGGTGAGGGCGACTGATTCCCCCTTTGGATAAATGCACAAGCATTTATAACTTTGGAGTTGAAACCGATGAAGCTCTACTGACAATGCCTTGAAAGTAAATTCTATTCAATATGATCTGTGAAGGGAGCGTGCGAACAGGTCTGATGCATTGAAAAGTTAACGATTTACAAAATTTTGCGTCCTCGGAATGCTGAGCTACACTTAGTCACCTTTCCAGAACTACAGCTTTACGGAACGAAGTGATATTTTTTTCCCATTTCCTACTAGTGCGTGTTTCATTTTCAGGCTTAAATGGATTTCAGAAAAATTTCTAACGATGCTCAAACCTTTCAAGAAGCGCAGAATTCCATTGCATGTCGCGTTCTCTAGAAATAAGATCGTGTGATAAAGCAATGCTGAAGTAAGCTTTTGGCTTGGCAGCACAGAGTAGCAGAAAATTTGCAAAAATTATACTGAAAGCCCTTTACAAAGGGCTTCTATATGTAGTAACAGCTTTCCTGTTGAAACAAAGATTTTTGTAAATTGTGAGCCCAGAATGTTATTCCGAAAGCAGCTTAATAAAAGGGCTTCCCTTCGATTACAAGCGGTAAAGCCTGTAAAAATGAAATGAAACTTGAGCGTCTGTGCAACCTGCTATAGCTCAAAACGACTAAAACTACATAATATTAATAAAAATTTTACTTAAAATGTTTCCGAAATCCATTTGGGCCATCGCAGCAGAATAAAAACCGGTGATAGCAATAAAGAGCATGTAAAATCTTTATCAATTAGTTTCAACCAAATCACCGCTTATTTTATGTAACATACCACTACTTTCCGGCTCATAAAAAGAATGCCTACTTTTATCACTAAGATACATACACTCGATGCTGCAGCAGTCAGAATAAACCACTTCATTAATTAATCTGTTACAATTTGAAAGTCACTGACATCGTGCTTCTTGTAAATGTTTAGGAATTCTATCGCATTTTGGCTGAAATGACCTACAATGATGGTTGGCGGGATGGTTCGCTGTATGTCCCTATGCTACGCTACTTTTGGCTTTCCGTACACGAAGGCGAGACGATTGGTAGGCGCTACTGTGTGCGAAGTCGAAAAGGTCCGCAGCCAAAGGGCAAACGCAAAGGCACGGCTGCGATAATAAAAGAGACATTTTTATTCCAATGTATCCATATCTACCAATGAATTTGTAAATACAACTCCGAATGACTAAAATGATCGTTGCCGGCCAATTACAGGGGTAGTAACGGTCAACTTAAAGCAATTTGCTTACTTCACCCATTGCAACGGAAATAAGCCACTGTATTTAACCGTTACCGCATTACATTGGGGAAGACAAAAAATTCGCTGCGAACAAACGAGCTCTTGATTCCAGCTACACCTCAGGTACTGCATTTCTGCACACTTGAAAGCTCAAATCTGTCCTCCTACTGACGCGAATTTTGCTTGGGCGAATGGCAAAGTCCGTGGCAATTTTGAGCGAAACGCCTTAATTTATTAGTTCAAATTGACTCAAGTGCATAACACTAAATATATGGGATATATTTGAAATCTTACCAGGGGTGCAAGAAACAAGCGCGTTTAATTTTTTCAGTGGCCGAAGCAGCAGGACGCCAGTCGCTCCAGACTGAACAAAATTCAGAAAATTTTAGCGCTTATTTAAGCTTACCCTTTTTTGAAGTTTAAGCCTTACTTAATCATTTAATTCATCCAAACTGAATGAATGGAAAATAAGGTTTAAATCTGTGATTTAATAAGTATCGTAGAATAGTTGAAGTTCTCTCACGCTGAAGGGCTAATCGCGATGAATTTCTTTCAAAATGCCAACGTTTTCGAGCTATCAATCGGCAAAATATCACTTCGTTCCGTAAAGCTGTAGTTCTGGAAAGGTGACTAAGTGTAGCTCAGCATTCCGAGGACGCAAAATTTTGTAAATCGTTAACTTTTCAATGCATCAGACCTGTTCGCACGCTCCCTTCACAGATCATATTGAATAGAATTTACTTTCAAGGCATTGTCAGTAGAGCTTCATCGGTTTCAACTCCAAAGTTATAAATGCTTGTGCATTTATCCAAGGGGGAATCAGTCGCCCTCACCACAGCGCTTGGGGACTTCGTTGATGACAGGAGAAGGCATAATGCTTGAGTGCAATGCGTGTGTATTCGGCGAAGGAAGGAATTGGGCCTGCTGCGTGGGCCTTCAAAATAAATGTGGCCAAACGAGTAACTGCAACCGAAGATGAGAAGCAAACGAACCACAAAAGTTATTGGAAAGGCATCGCAAGCTGTGCTTTGAGTGACATCGAGAGGTTCTCTCTACTAGGAGATGGCAACTATGGTTAGGAATGCAAGTGGACTTCCAAAACACTTCAGTTTTCCGAGATAAAAGCAAGTAAGTTGGAATGCAATTGTAATGTTCTGGCAGAAACGGACAAAGGCGACATAGACGCTTGTTTGGATCCAGTTGACGGAAAGGTGTTTTGACGGTTCATCAATTGTTTCCCTTCTGCTCGATTAAACTCCACATTCTTCTTCTGTGTTTGGAGCTGAATATGTGATAATAGGCCACAAGTTAATTACGGCTTTGCTCATCGGTCTTTTGACACTTGCTTATTTTTTGTGCGGATTTGCTTGGGTGTGATGACAAAGTACTGGTCAAGTACCCAAAATAAATGTGCGCATGTGGCGCCAACTACCCTAACTTTAATTCAAACGGTTTAAAAGTTAATGGATCGAATGCATATAATCCTAATCCTCCGACTTGAAAGTTCGCGCAAATTTTAATTCCTCTCGTAGGTGCTGAAAGGTAATCCTGTACCTAGTTTTAGCAATGATACATTAGGAATGCTAGTACAAAATGAGAAATGAGCGTGTTTATTCTTTAGTTGCAGACTTAGGCAAGGGACTGAAAAAATTAGGCCTTGTGGTAGCGTGTGCGTTTGATACTTGAAATTCCCTCCGGCACACGGGCAGCAGTAACATTACCTTAAGTAGGAAACACCGCTGCTGCACGAATTCCAATCTGTAGTCTTATAAGAGTCTAAAGGGCCGGTGCTACCAAGTTTTCCGTGACTGAAATGTCCTCACAGGCGTTTGAAGTGCTGTTCATTGTAAGATGGGGGTGTTTAGTAATTTGCATGCGATGGAAAAGTATTCTCCACTTACTCATCTCCGAGCTCGAGCCTGCCGAAATTAAGGTCCGAGAGG